TGTATGTATATATATATATATATATATATATGTGTGTGTGTGTATGTGTATGTATGCACATGTACGTGTATGTATGTATATATATATATATATATATATATATATATATATATATATGTATATACACACAGTGTATATAAATACATACAGTATATATAGTGTGCAATCATTGGCCAGTGCAGTCATCCATTACGGAGTACAGTATTGAAGATGACCCTCCTTGGAAGTTTATGTGCCGGCAGTAGCACATATACAAAAGGCAAGTTAAATCATTTTAAGGGCCAAATACAGATAGGAAAAAAAAATACTGGGGGGAAAATCCAAGAAGATTCGTATCTGATGCCCCTGTCATATTTTCCTTGAAGGCCATGGATGCATTGAAATCAAACATCAGATAAAACATGAGCGTTCCGCTGCTCCACTTCCTCTACTCATCTCACACAGCTCCTATAAACTACTGTTTTGGTGTTTTAAAAAATCTCTTGGTACCTTGACATAAACACAAATGATAAAATACATGTCGGTCTAAATGAAAGTCAGAACAGCTGCAGAAATCTCAAGTCTAAATGCAGTCTTTGTTTTGTGCCGGGCTCGAAAATACCGTATGCGAGAGCCAAAAGGGAAACACCTGCATGTACTTCAGGGTTCGCTGGTCAGACTTGCAAGAACGAGAAGAACAAATAAATATAGAACGATGAAATAACAGCCAAACACTGATGGTAGATATTTCAATGTGTCTGCATATTTTTGAAGAATCATACACATATTACTGTGATTGTTCACACACACACACCCACAAAAAAAAAAAAATATATATATATATATATATATATATACCTGTATACACACACACACACACACACACAGTAAGAAGACTAAGAAGCATAATTAACCCTTTCAGGGACAGAAATTTCTACAGTAGACAGCTTATCATGTTATCAGGGTACAGAGTGCATGAAAGGGTTAAAAGTGCCTGTGGTTATCATCCTTATGATATCAAAAATGTAGTCTGACTGTGGGACTACACTACTACGTCTACACTACTGTGCAAATACTGTAATGGGATACAAATGTGACACAATTCAATTCAAAATAAACGTGTCATTTCTGCTGGGTTTTGACTGTCGGGTATGGCAAGTTCATGCTTGGAGCTTGCCGAAACAAAGAGTTTTTGATCATTTGCATTTGTGGCTATTCATAGCAAACTGTTCGCTCTGTCTCAGCAACACGGTGAAAGAGATTGTGAGGGTGTTTCACATTTCAAGAGAGAACACATGAGTACCAGAAGCTTTTTTCTTTAGAGCTGAGGAGGTTTTTTTTTCAGCCAACACATCCATAAACACATCCTGCAATATCACCTACTGTATTCATTTCAGTTAAGCCCAGTGAAATAATGGGATGCTTTGCTAGCCACTCCTAGTAGATGATTTTATTGTATCATTTTAAATTGGAGTAACTTCATATTCTGCATTTTTTTTCAAGGGGAATTTACACTCAAAATGGTAAACTATTGTTAGTGTTAAAAGTGTAGATCTTTATCAGCTGCTGTTCACTGGAATTTACTCAATAATTATTTCAAAAAATACATTTAAAACATCGCATCTCTCGGCTATAGTGGCTGACATTTTTAGGTCTTTTCACTCTTGCAAGAGTGCAAATTTGAGAAGAATGTGACATTTATTGTAGGAGCTGACCAATTTATGAAATTTTGCCGGTCTATCGTTCAACAGCGGCCTGAGCACCCGTCCATCATCATCAGTCCATCATTTTTTCAAGTGTGAAAGTCAGTCCGTCACTCCGTCATGTTAACTCATTCAATCTCAGCCATTTTCACTGGAGCAACCCCCTCAATCCCAGCGTTTTACTGGATTTTGACTTGTCTTGCAAGGCCCACAGAGTATTTGGTTCTAATGCTATATAAACATGGAGTCTACCAAAATAAAGTTTGGACTCTCTTCTTCTCTTCAGCAGAAAAAGAAATTTTGTTTCTATCTTTTTCTATTCTTCAGCAATCGGTATTACAAAATGGCTAAGTTTCATGAAAATGGCGATTCCAGGGCAAAAAACGGAGAAAAGAGCTTTTTGTAAAATCATGCATTTCAAGCACATGAGGCACCACTGCCACCTACTGGTCGCTTTTTTACATGATTTACAATGCAAACGGCTAATTCTCATTCACAGATTGCATCAGACCCTCCTCCTCTCTATGACGCAAAAAATGACTAAGACGTATAAGTACGTCCTTGGTAGGCGGGGCCTAATTTTAAAAAGACGTACAAGTACCTCTTGTGGAATGAAAGAGTTAATTTAACTCAGTCAGTCCACCAGTTCCCCCACCCCGTCCCTCCTAAGAAACTCGTCATCGTCCAACATTTTATTAAATGTAGCCTTCTTTGTCTTGAAAGTAGTAGCCTCCTCTTCTGTCTCCTGGCTGGGCCTTTTGCCCTTCCCAAAGACGTTTGTTTTTGACTCATTTTGGTAGCTCCTGGGTTTCATTTAAGCGGTAACCTATCACATAACTGAGAAGGGCGTCTTGACCTGTGTCAAGAGTGACACACTGTAGATGGATGTAACAGAGAATCCAGTAATTTTTCAGATCTTTCAGATTCCGAGAGAAATAAAACGCAAGCAATATATTCGTTCTGTGCGGCCCAGTATCAAATGACCCACGGACCGGTACAGGTCCGTGGCCCTGGGGTTGGGGACCACTGATATACAGGACATAAGGTGCACATTAAAGGAACGACTGATATCACTAAGTTTAACAGTCAAACCGCTAAGCTACCAGTGTATGTTATGAGAGGCAACTTTACCCCAATCATGTGG